CAGAGAGACGGAGGGAGCGCGCGCGCGAGACAGAGAGACGGAGGGAGTGCACGAGAGAAACAGAGACAGAGAGAGAGAGAGAGAGAAAGAGAGAGAGATAAAGAAAGGGAGAGAGAGAGAAGAGAGTCCAGTTAGTCCTCTTTCGGAGAGGAAGGGCACTTCGCAATGGGCATGGGTGAGGGGGCAAGTGGAGGGGGGTGTGCGTGTGAGATATAAACAAATCAATTTCCTTCGTGGGGGGTGGGGGGGGGGTGGACATGGGGTGTGCAACTGTTTGCCCCAAGGCTGCCCACTCTGTTGCTGAGCAGTTGGATATTGCTGTATTGGGGGTGCGGGGGCTGATAGATGGGTGATAGGCCGCGATGCTGTTTTACCTTCTGCCTCTCCAGCTCCTCCTCCAGCTCCCTCCTCCTCTGTTCGCTGCGCTCCCACAGTTTGCCCTGCTTGACCGCCTCTAGCGTCCGCTCCTCCATCTTCGCCTCCAACTGCAGGCGGAGGAGGGATACAAGTCACACAAGGCCGAAAGCCGCACACCCACCCTCCGCCCAGCCATCATACCAGCATCCTCCCCACTTTGCGGAATCACAGAGTGGCTCAGTGGTTAGCACTGCTGCCTCATGGCGCCAGGGACCCGGGTTCGATCCCACCCTTGGGCGACTGTCTGTGTGGGGTTTGTACATTCTCCCCGTGTCTGCGTGGGGTTTCTTCCGGGTGCTCCGGTTTCCTCCCACAGTCCAAAGATGTGCAGGTTATGGTGGATTGGCCATGCTAAATTACCCCATAGTGCCCAGGGATGTGCAGGTTATGGTGGATTGGCCGTGCTAAATTGTCCCATAGTGCCCAGGGATATGCAGGTTAGGGTGGGTTAGTATAGGAAATGCAGGGTTACAGGGATAGGGTAAGGGGCTTGGTGGGATGTCCTTTGGAGTGTTGGTGTAGTCTCAATGGGCTGAATGGCCTGCTTCCACACAATAGAGATTTTATGAATTGATATGGTGTACCAGGAAGCTGTTAGGTCCATCATGCCTGGTGCAATGATGGGGAGGCAGGTTCAACAGGGGCGTTGGATGTGTTACTTGAACGGCAGTAGCGTGCAGGGATGTGGGTGGAGAGACAGGAGACTGGCAAACAGAGTCATAGAGACCTAAAGCACGGAGACAGGCCCTTCGGCCCGAACTGGTCCATGCTGACCAAAAGTGTCCATCCATGCTAACCCCATTTCCCTGCACTTGACCCACCTCCTTATAAACCTTTCCTGTGCATGTATTCATCCATATACCTTTTAAATGTTGTTGATGTACCAGCCTCAACCACTTCTGCTGGTAGCTCATTCCATATATCTACCACCCTCTGTGTAAAAATAAAACTTGCCCCTCAGGTTCCCATGTATTCTTTCCCCTCTTGCCTTAAACTGATACCCTCCAGTCCTCGATTCCCTAACCCTGAGAAAAAGACTGAGTGCATTCACCCGATCCATGCCTGTCATGATCTTTCACGCTTCTATAAGATTACCCCTCAGTCTCCTATGTACTAAAGAAAAAAGTCCTAGCTTGTCCAACCTCCCCCAAAAACTCAGTCCCTTGAGTCCTGGCAACATGCTTGTAAATTTCTTCTGCACTCTTTCCAGTTTAATAACATCCTTTTTATAGCAAGGTGACAGAGCCAGTCTAGATAATGGCTCCAGTCTAGATGAATACATGCACAGGAAAGGTTTATAAGGAGGTGGGTCAAGTGCAGGGAAATGGGGTTAGCATGGATGGACCCTTTTGGTCAGCACGGACCAGTTCGGGCCGAAGGGCCTGTCTCCGTGCTTTAGGTCTCTATGACTCTGTTTGCCAGTCTCCTGTCTCTCCACCCACATCCCTGCATGCTACTGCCGTTCAAGTAACACATCCAACGCCCCTGTTGAACCTGCCTCCCCATCATT